TGTCGTGGAACTACCATCTCTAACTACTGTCATTACTCTTTGTCGTTCAACCGCCTTCAACTGGGCTCCTTGAATCGTGAAATGTGATAAGATTTCTCAATAACTGCTATTCTGGATAACCATTATATCTTATGTTTGCTAAGATCTTGGGCGATTCGAAGGTTTGGGCGAGAACGGGATCATCGCTCTGGGCGACCTTAAGACACTCCATTCGCTTAGATTATGGGTGTCTTGCAAGTTTGGGCGATGATGTTACTGTGTTCTTGGGCTTCCACTGCATTCATCAATAATCCTATTTGGGCCTTTATCCTGGATTCCCCAATTGGACTTTACTCTTTGGACTATTTAATTTGGACTGCACTTTTAGTGTATCAACACCACTAGCAACTAGTAAGCAAACCGGCTGCCTCCACTTTACTTTCGGCCACAAAACTCATCCTGACAGCCCTTCTAGTACAAGCATCATAACATCCACCAAAACAAACATGTCATTCTCAATGCCAACACTTAATCTTTTGCTTGTAAAGATTTCTTATTCTCCTTTTCTATTGGTTCTGCCTTTAAACCCATTGAGGAAAAACACTGTTATAGAACTACTAATATGCAAAGGAGAAGCAACAAGTAACGATTAGGCTGAAGGGACATAAACTTGATCATCTAGATAGCTTTTATCCTCCATCAACTTCACAAACTTTTTCTTGGTTTTTTTCAACGAAACTTTGGAAGTTCTACATTTGTCAATATAGCTATTCAAGATTTGAATTAAATAAATAAATTTTGTTTTTATTTCAACATGGATCATGACAAGAAACAAAGAAAAATCGTAATTTAAGTCTCCTCTTCTATTTATAAAAACTGTGTATTGTTGGGAATTTGATGCAATAATTTCTATTGTGCGGGAAGGATATGTTAAAGAGTACATTTAAATAAATAAATAGGATTCTTGGTTCTAGGTGGTATTAGAATGACAAAGATTTTTTAGTTCAATTCTTGCCAAATAGAGAAAAAATTTGGCTCATAAGTGAAGGATGTGTTTCTCATATATAGATAGAGAGCTATGATTTTCTCGAACGAACCACACTCCTTCGTATACGTCAGGAGTCCATTGATGAAAAGGGATTGAGAAAGCTTGAGCACAATTCCTACAGGTGATAGATATGAGCACAATTATTCATTTGTGTATCGATAAGACCATTCACTATAAGACTTAATTAGTTCAACATGCACAGAAACAAATGCATGTGTTAAATTCAAATATCACAATTCATATATGAAAATAGTACAAGCTGTTGTGATTCTCTGATCATGAAAAGAGAAGATAAAAGAGGAAAAATAATTATATTTCTATCATGAATAGAATTTACAATAGAGTTTTACAAACTCTCAACAAAACATCATAAATCTCTCTCTCTTTCTATCTTCACCATTGGTTTGTTCTCTGCAAATGCATCCCCTATTTTTAAGAAAAATATTGGGGCCTAATGGAGAAGCCTTCCTCATTAAGTAAGAAGAATTCTAATTCAAGTTTTCTTCTTGCATTGAAAAGTCTTCCTCATTAAGTAAGAGAGTTTCAATTCAATTTTTCTTCTTCCATCGAGAAGTCTTTGTTCCTGAAATTTCTCAAGTGTACGGATTGTGAAAAGTAATAAAGTGGATTTAATAAGTTAGAGTATCGTCCTACAGATACTACTATTTATTATAAAGTTTTAAACTAATATAACTTCAATTTAAATTAAAATGCCAATTAACGATCAACTCAAATTTTATTTTTTAAGCGAAATTCTAATAAATAAAATAACAAACTCAAATTAAAACTGTAGAAAAGAGTGCAAGCTATTGTGATTCTCTGATCACGAAAAGAGAAGATAAAAGAGGAAAAATAATTCTATTTCTATCATGAATAGAATTTACAATAGAGTTTTACAAACTCTCAACAAAACACCATAAATCTCTCTCTTTCTATCTTAACCATTGGTTTGTTCTTTGCAAATGCATCCCCTATTTTTAAGAAAAATATTGAGGCCTAATGGAGAAGCCTTCCTCATTAAGTAAGAAGAGTTCTAATTCAACTTTTCTTCTTGCATTGAGAAGTCTTCCTTATTAAGCCCTTGTTTTCCCCCCATTATATCTCATTACATTACATTAAATTTTTCTCTCTCTTCATCTCAACCATACATCCATCAAATAAAATAATAATACACACAAATCTAAAACTTTTCAACCACACATCTCCCATCAATCACTATTCTAAAAATTTTCAACCCCCTAAAAATCTACAATAATGGGGGCCAAACAGGGGATAAGTAAGAGAGTTTCAATTCAATTTTTCTTCTTCCATCGATAAGTCTTTGTTCCTGAATTGTGAAAAGTAATAAAGTGGATTTAATAAGTTAGAGTATCGTCCTACAGATACTACTATTTTCTATAAAGTTTTAAACTAATATAACTTCAATTTAAATTAAAATGCCAATTAACGATCAACTCAAATTTTGTTTTCTAAGCGAAATTCTAATAAATAAAATAACGAACTCAAATTAAAACTATAGAAAAGATTATGTGATTAGATAATTAGGATTTCTGATTTCACTTAGGTTATTTATCATACATTTAATTTTAATTATTCAACCATTTTTCATACGTGCCAACGATCGAATTAACCTATTGTATTTAGTGATCTCTCTCAAGCAACACTAATCTTATTCATATGCTCGAACTTATTATATCTCTATATAAATTCACATACATATGAACACATTTATCCACAGGAATTCAACAAAGATCGCATAGTTTATAATTATCTCTCGATCTCTTATAATGTCTATGTTAATTATTGCACGAGCTAGAATTCACTTCTCGATCTCAATATTATCC